AGAAAATAGTGCATATTGGACGTGAAGAAGGGAGCACGTGGGGAAAAAACGCGCCTGATTTAAATGTCACACCTGAATGCTCACATCCTTTTAATTATGTTTGAAATTATGAACATTGCTCAACATCATGAAAATTAAACCTTATTTTCAATAAGCAATCCTGAAAAATATTTGGGGGTGCTTAACTTTTTCCAGGTGTATATATTGTCTAAAGTCTGGGATTTTATTTTTTCTTGCAATATATTTACTTTTGTCAGTTAGTTTTCTACTTCAAAGAAATCACAAGTTTGTAACTCGAAGCCATCCTGAAAACTAGCATCGTATTTTTTCCACCCTCGGGAAAAGGTAAAGACCTTGATGTCTTTTTTAACACACATATATAAATCAGTAAAATGAGAACATAGATAAGTTTATGTACAAATTACAGTAAGGTAAATACTATCTATTTATAGTAGTTTTAATGCTTTAGATGATTTTTTTTTATTGCACCATTTCTGTCAGTAAAGTGGTCCAGCACAAGACATCACAATGCCTACTATAGTAAATGTATGAAAACAAACTTTTAGGCCAATGGTTACATGGGTCATGCATAACAGGGTAATAAACTGCTGTGTTATTTAGTGATTTATTTGCACTATAAATCATAAATTGATCAAATAAAGAAGTCAAATTTATATTTTAAAAGATCCCGTAGTTTTTATGTAATGTTTTGAAATCTCTGAACTTACCTGATAAATGCTGCAGTCAACCAATTAAATTGCTAATCATCAACAAGCAGTTAATAAGTGTTAAAAATTTTATAGTTTATTACTGTTAAATTCATTTCAAGAAAAAATAGCGAAAGTTTTATTGCATATTTTCAAGTTATTGTTTTAATAAGCAAATAACATTTTACATGCACAAAAAAAATTAGCATATTTACAGAAGTGACTACAGAATAAATGCAACAAAATACCTATGAACTACAAAACCTTCTAAACTTTGTTCATTAATTGTTGCAGTGGAAATGAATTAAAGATAGGTAGTTATTTCAAAACTGAACTGTGTTTATAATAGTGACCAAATATACTTACATCTTATAAGTTCTACAACCTCACTATGGTTAGACTGGGTAACCAAAGTTCCATTGACCTGGAATTGATAAAAAAAAATTAACAAATAATTCATCATGATAATTTACAGCAGATATGGTATTGTTCAATTCATAATGTTTTAAATCTGTGATTAAGTCTAGAAACCACAACACCGGAAATCTAGAATTCATAAATACTCTTGCTAAAAGAAAGTAATAATAAATAAATAAGTGTACACATTCATAATGTTAAAAAGATTAAATATAAATACAATTCTTTTTTCATATTGCACATGTTAATTTACTTGTTACAAGCAAATTTAGCCTCAGTATGTGCAGTATTTGTTTCACTGGATTCATGAAGACAATAGGACTGCCCATGTCATTCACCATGCAGAACCACTGAACAGCAAAATAAAATATTCCCTACTGACTAACTATTTCACATTCATGTAAATATTTCCAATATAATATCTAACTTTAATTTGTAAGCATCCTGGTTATTTGAATCACACCCTGAAACTTTTCATGGTGATCACAGCCCAGGAACTAGCCACAAAAACAGTGCTAAGGGGGTAAATTGCAATAGCTGTCAGTCATAAAAATGGGAAAATGAATCAAGTAAGGGGTTTTGAATTGCTCTGGTGCATACTCAAAAACCCTGAAAGCTTAATGGTGATCAGATGTTAGACACACAAACACAAGCAATTTTAGAGTACAGGTATGTTGAATCATAAAAACTACAAAACTGTACTAGGAATTTAGTTAACAACAGATTTGCAATTATTGGAAATCCCTCCACAATTCTCCATCCACATTTTCATAATAATATTATCTCATATTAGAGTTTTATAATGGCATTATATTATGCACCAAAGAATGGTATAATGTTCAGGTATCCTTACTTTCATATATCAAAGTTTCTGAGAAAGTTGCAGCATCAGACTTTACCTGATTAACATATTAAGTGATAACTGATTTGGAAGGTTTCTTATACAGCTCAGTTTTAACCACATTTTCCTTGAATTTCAGATTACAATTTATTTCACCATATGAGAGCATAAGACAAAAATTGCTAAGCCATATTTGGCCCATTCACTACTTTGATGTACTTACTGTTTACTTTGCTTTGATTAATTTGACACATGACAAGACCTATTTCATATCTGGTGCAATGTATACTGAGGAGTCTCCATATCTGAACAGACATGGATGAAATGTTCTTTAAACACCAAATTATAACTGTTAACATCTTGAAAGTGCATTTTAGAGAATATGATCTGTCAATGAGAAACATTATGAAAAAATTGTACTAATTAAAAAAAAATTCTGATACTCTATACACTGACATTATAATAAATGAGAGTTTAACTTAATTCATCCTTATAGCAATCCTTTTTATAGCCAAAGCAATAAGAACAATGGAAAATAAAAGCATACTTTTATTATTCGATCTCCTTCCTGGACCCCAACCCTTGCAGCTGCACCATCTGAAACACATGAAAAACATTTATACTTAGAAACTTCTTTTAATATAAAAGTAGTAAACCACAACTACATTAAGCATAATAATGTTCAGAAAACAAAATGCACTTTTTAAACTGCTGTAAATTTTCTTTTTTGACTGAAACTATAAAACTTAAAGGATATGTTCCAACAAATTTGAAGAATGCAACTATCGTCCTTAAAAATCATATAAAGACTGTTGTAGAACAACTTAACCAAAAACAAAAGGGATAAAAAAAAACTTATCCCACAACAACAACAAATTGCTAAATGATAAATAATTCTTTCACTTTTTCAGCACAGACTCGGTCCATGGGACCGACCTCATAACCATTCTGCGCTTGTCATAGTTTTCATGCTATAAATTTTAAATTAGTAAGCGAATGTTAACAAAATTTGGCAGATTATCAGTAAACAGTACAATGCTTTCATTCGCAAAATATCAATTTTTTTTTTTTTTTTTTTTTTT